AAAAAGTGCTTTGTTTTTTTTCTCTAGTCAAAAAAAAAAAAAAAAGAAGAGCGAAAATGAAGAGCTGCTGTTTTCTGAGTGAGACCATGAGTCTGCCAAGGTTGAGAACCGCTGCCTTAATGAGAAGGCAGAGCAGAGCTCAGACACAGCCCGCTCCCTGCGGGACATTGACTTAATGAGTGTGTTGTGAGATCATGCCCTTCCTTAGTGAGATCAACAACAGAGATCCAGGGACCTAGGATCTCATTCTTTGTATTCTGAACAACTTTGCCAATTCTTTTCCCTTGTGCCTGAGATGGTCTGACTGCAGAATCCCTGCTGTGGTCCATAGACTGTCAGGAGAAACAAGGGAAGACAGGCACTGAGATGGATTGTGAACTGGAGCTACATCTCTATTGACTTTAGTGGAGCCAGGCTGCTTCCACCGGCTGAGGATTTGGCTCATTATTTTTGAAGAAACACAAGCCGGTTCCATTTTCTGGGGTCCTTCTGTGCCAGGTAAACTCAGGGCAGTCACACTTCCTGTTCATCTGCCTCTATTTAAGTTTCACAAATACAGCTAGGCAAAAGTTAGGGCAGGGTGGCACAGCTGGTATGGTGCCAGTCTGCCCTGGCATCTGCCTGACTTCTTGCAAGAGTGGCTAAGCACCTCCTGTCCATATACAGACAATTACAGCAAGCACTGCTCTCTGTTTTCCGAATATGTTACTTTTGCAAATTAACATTTTCGTTCAGAAGCAGCATAAAAGCCTGGCTAAGACCACGATCTCCTTAAAGAAGCTGTAAACGCAGGTGTCTGTTTGAGTAGGAACCAATCCCTATATGAAGTAGTTACTGGAAACTATATATAATATCAAGGGCTGGATTTTTTTTTTTTTACAGGGATTTAGATGCCTAATTCCCCTGGACACGGGCTAGATTCTATCTACTTATTGGGCATCTAAATCGACAGCTAGGTGTGATTGTAGTCTGCTCTGTTCACGTTCCTGAGAATCCATTAATGAATTAACTTTTGTAACGCACCATCATCTGACCCTTAATATTGGGTCACAAAGAATTGGGGGGTGGGATGGTCCCCCATCTCTTACATGAACTGTGTTTCAGGGTCTCAAGCAGGGAGGAACAGAATTCCACTTGTGTGGCTAAATCCACTTATGTACCTAAGAGGTGGAATAGAAACTGGCCTCAGTCATCTAGATCCCTTGAGAAATCAGGTCCTAAGTTCTCAAGCCTGATCTAGTCTAAGGTGCAGGTCTTGAGGTTGATATGCTTTCTCCCATGTCTTTTGCTCTTTATGGTCCAAACAGGCTTTGTGAGAGACACCTGAGAGTGCTGTCAGTGAGTTTGCCAGACTTTGCCCAATGCAGAGTGAGGGTGGTTCTTTGGACCCTGCCTTGGAGAGTGAAAATGTACAAGGAACCCAGCTAGGCTAATGTGGTGCCTATCTTCAAGAAGGGAGGAAAGTGGATCTGGCTAACTATAGGCCCATTAGCCTGACTTCTATCCTGGGGAAGATCTTAGAAAAGTTTATTAAAGAGGCCATCCTTAATGGACTGGCCGAGGCCAACATCCTAAGGGATAGCCAGCATGGGTTTGTTGTGGGT